CTCAGAAATAAATAGTAGTTTTGCTGAAACGTGATGTATTTCAATGTAAAATAGGATAAAATACATGACGAAAACAAAAGACTTTACAAAACCTTCCGATGTTCAAGAGATGTTAATCGTTTTTTTAATAGTTTTCGGTTAAAATACTGTTATATTACAATGATATTCTATTCATACTGTGCTTGATATACTACATTCACGGAAATGTAATATTTTTGCTGAAATGACGTACGTATTACAGTGGAAAGTGGGATAAAATCGTGACGAAAACAATGACTTTCGCTTTCTTTCGTTCAAAAGATGTTACCGTAATCGCTTTTCGAATGTTTTTCAGGTAAAAAAACTGTTGCATCACAAGTGAATTAGGATAGAATATTATTGTAATACAACAGTTTTTTACATTGCTGGAATCCTTGCAAGACAGTGAATAATATGAATGTAAATGCCATATATTTTGCGCAAGATATAAAAATTAATCACCTGTATCACATTAGTAGTGATTTAAGAGTAAGAGTGTATATGTACTATCGTGCACAAAAGTCGTGTCCACTACCCAACCACAGTGAGGATTCGAATAGCCTTGAGTCTGAAGTTTCGAAACAGCTGGGGGAAATGCTATGGTCGGCCAACAGATATCGCCCACTGTAGTGTGTGTGTATGTGTGTGGGCGGGGGGGATAGAGGAGGTGGGGGTTAGTCTAGTCATCACCAACAGGTAAGTCACATTAATTTGTCAGCATAGCCCATGTCATCCTTATACTATTGCAGGGTGTCCCATGAGTGACAGCAGATATTTGTAGAGGTGAAAGAATATGTGATATTGAGCCACCACGTCTCTATCTCCATCCATTTCCCTCTATCTTTAATAAAAAGTGTAACCCTACTCAGAAAAAATAATGAATGGGCCCTCCAAACAAATTAAAGATGGGGTGCACCCCATCCTTTCCTCCCTCCCATCGCCCCAGTCACCCCAACCTACCACCCAATACCATGCAGTGGGAAGGCCACACACTTTCTCTCCTCCTAAAAGTCTGTTCCGTTTAACCCACATTCTTTCACTACTAAACCTTCTTCCCCCTTTCCTATATTTCGCTATCGCTATCGGAATCTCCCGCCTTAACTGCGGTATCTCCCGCCTTGACTGCGGTATCTCCCGCCTTGACTGCGCCATTTGTTATGGTTGCCTTGCGTAATTTGTAAAATCCACCTCATGGCTAAACGTAAACCGAAAAATCCATATATGTATGAAAGTTTTATACTCAGAATCACATATCCTTTCACCTCAACAAATATCTGCTGTAATTAGTGGGACATCCTACTATAATTATATGACAGTTGTTATATGAGCTCCTTAGTTAACTCCACCATAAAAATATGGTGTTTGATGTGCTATGCGTTTGCCGCACGTTACCTTACGCGGTTATGTTACACCCCCAGTTGCAACCTGGGAGTTTGGGTTGGGTAATGTAGTATTTTGAGCAGAAATGGAATTCAGAACGACTCAATGAACATGAAGAAAAACGTGTTTATATAACGAACCCTAACGTAATGTAACCTATTACAGTTATATGTAATCTGGGATTAACATGTCATAGCTGAAAATTGTCAAAGAAATATGTAAAGCAGTGGAAAACCATATATTTTGATTATCAGCGAGGCTAACTACTTATAAACAATTAATATTTGACAACTGGCAAAAGTCCTGGGAAAATGAACCAACAAGTCATAAGCTAAAAATGATTAGAGCATCAGTTTATCCTTGGTCATCATCAAAACAATCCTCTCGATATCATGAAACAATTCTGAATCGTCTAAGAATTGGGCATATGCGATTGACACATGGCCAACTCATGTTTTCCCCTAATGGAGCCCCACCTATATGCTCCAACTGCCGAACACAAATAACAGTCCAACATATTCTCATCGAATGCCCTATTTATAATCAGTATCGAACAATGTGCTTCACTAACCCTACAATTAAGATATTTTAGCAGAGACCCCAAAATTTTCCCTAAGTTCAGTTTTGACCTTTTTGAAATACTGTGATCTCCTACAAACAATATAACACTAAATTATAGAAACAGAAATATACGTTAACTAATCCCTCTGGCCAGACCTAGGAGAGACTCAAATGGGTGTCAGTGGTCTGGTTAAACTAAATTTTGATGATGATGATGATTATCGGCGAATGTTGACTCGACAGTCGCAGGGGTGGTGGTGGAGGTTTGGGGGATCCACTTACAGTTCACTATGAATACATGAAATAGGAAGGGTTTCTTGGGCAGTTGATCCAAAAAGATTTACCAAAACGTTATGTCAGAGTAATAATACTTAACCTAGGTGTTACTAATACCATTAATTTACTCTAGTATATAAAAGCCTGCATCAGTTACCACAACATAATATTACTCTGCCATTTCAGATATGCCTGCAGGACGAGCAAATTCGTCGGCAGTGATTGCTGAGCCAGGCCAAATCATCGGGACTTGGAGAGCCGAGGCAACTGTGCCGAACATTGCTCTCGAAGTGGGGAGGAGCACCAAGACGATTAGGAGGTGGATCCGCCGGTGGGAGGAAGAGGGCTCAGTGAAGACGAAACCTCTTAAGCGGGAGGCCACGAGTAACGTCGGCAAGGATGGACACCATGATCGTGGCAGCTGCAACGGCATATCCAATGCGAACATCAGTGGAGCATACAAGAAATCTGGGCCCCAACTACCATCACATGACGACGAGACGCCGACTTCATGAAGCCGGGATCGACTGCCATATTCCAGCTCACAAAGGGTGGCTAACACCTACTCACAAGGAGTGTCGACTCGGCTTTGCATTGGAACACCTTCCACATAGAAGAATACTGGAGAACCATTATATTTACCGATGAAACGGTGTTCAGGTCAGTGGGAGCCGAAGCAAGGCAGTGCTGGCGGCCCCGCAACACACGCTACCATGAGAAACACATTCAACATCGCGCAGTAAGTGATAGGGTGTCAGTGTCATTCTGGGGGTGGATGTGGGCACATGGGCCAGGTGAACTGGTCAAGATCAATGGCCGTTTCACTGGTGAGCATTATGTAGACATCCTGGAGCAAGTGCTAATTCCTACAGTCCAGGCTATGGCAGTTCCAGCCACCCCACACTATCAGGCTGGTTCATGACAACAGTCCCATTCATACCAGCAACATAGTGAAGGACTACCTCCAGGATCACCCTGAAATTGAGGTCATCGACTGGCTAACACTAGGATAAGATATTAATCCGATTGAACATATTTGGGCAATGATGAAACGTAATAGGGATATTGGGGAGCAGCGAACCTGTGCAATAATAAGAGGCCAAAGCTTACGACGTGTGGGAGAGTATACGTCGACGACCAGGGGTGTGCCTGAAGCTGGTCGACTCCATCCCTAATCGCCTTGATGAAGTCCTGAATGCAATGGGTGGCTGGACCAAATACTAAGATGTGTGTATTGGTGTATTGTTTGAATTTTAGTATTGTTTGTAAATACAATTAATATATATTAACTCACCTACAGTGTTATCTTAAATCCATGTCCTTAATGATGTCTTAAACTATATCGCATGAAAATTCATAACAAAGTAACTTGACAGCCACAAATTATGTATTGTGTGGTATACAATGATCTGTATGACACGTCGTGGAATGTGTTGTCTTATAACACAATATAATTATATATTTACAATTGCTACCATCATTGAAATGCTCATGATGTTCAGCACACAATATTAACGGTAACTGAGCACACTCCAAAGTATATGAAGCTTGCATATTGTGGTGGGGTGTTTAAACACTGGAACTTGGAAGAATTGGAACTAGATTAAGTCTGAATACTATTTTACAATACTGATAACTTTTTCACTCCACTCTTTTTAACATAAGTATATAATTATATAATATTGCATATTATCACAAATATTTATTAAGCAAAGGATGGGTGGAATATAAATAAATATTACCAGAATCTCTTTGTCGGAATAACAACAAAATTGTGAAGTGGTCGCTGAGTAAAACTAGTTAACCAAGGCCTTCACCCTGAGCCTTGTATATTTCACGTTTATCCTTAATATATTCCATTCTTTAAAGTATCATTGTGACCTGAGCGGCAATAAGCACCCAGGGCACTGTACCTGTTCCATGAATTCGTAACCAAAAACAAACAACTGTAAGACAAAACGTACTTAAAAAGGCAGCTTGAAATTATGGTGGTATAAATAATAAATAAACCTGCCTCTCATCCAGCCCCCACCTCCTCTATTCCCCCACACTACAGTGGGCGACATCTGTTGGCCGACCATAGCATTTCCCCCAGCTGTTTCGAAACTTCAGACCCAAGGCTATTCGAAACCTCGCTGTGGCTGGGTAGTGAACACGACTTTTGTGCACGATAGCACGTATATATACTGTACAGTATAGTGATTTAAGGGCGATTTAGGGTAATTTTAGGAGTGTTTTTGACTTTATGCATTTTTGGCTTTACTTTGTATGTACTTTTCTGTGAGCTGGAACCAATTACCCAATATCCCATTGAAATAATGGATTCGGTTAATGAACGACTCTGTGGAACGAATTGTGTTCGATAACCGAGGGACCACTACAGTAGAGTGCCATTTGTTAGTCTACTATAACCCAAGAACAAGAAGAGCTATAACATTCACACTAGGCATATACAAACAAGATGACAGCCCATATAGTTGTGATATTTCAGGGGGCTAAGTTGTTGCTAGGCCAGCTTTGAGTAAGGCACCATTTGGCATGACTAAGTACTTCAGGAGGAGTGACCCCCACCCCATTTTTTTTATCATTAACATTTGGTTGCAACTATGTTTGTAGCAGTGGTCAGGTATACAAAACAAGTAATGTAGATCAAGTTTAAAATTTTAGTTTTACTTTCAACTTTAAACATCCTTCTTTTCCCCCAAACTTTCATAAAATGTTGAATTTTCTGCAGGTACAGTATACTGACAAAGCATGAAACCCACCTCTTGTAGGCAGCCTTGATATGGTTAGGACCCTGAGAGCCAAGACTTTGCAACTGCATCTTGTTAGACACCACCTTCCATTGATTTTGGTTCATCACACGGTTGAATCCTCCAAGTTTCTGTACAACCTGTAAGGAAAAAAATTGTTGTACTAATCCCAGAGGCACACATTTCAAAGTTTGCTATATAGAAATTTTTGATATTCTTGAAATTATGAAAACTACTTGAGAAAGACAGTCCCATGGAAGGTATTGATATTAAAACATTTTATTTAGCCAAAACACAGATACAGAGTCAATAAAAATCATAATATTAACATGGCTGAGCCAGTTGAGAGCCTGGGCTCACTTGAAGGTAGATAATACAATCACAACACTTGCTAAACTAAGCTGTAAAGTTAAAAAAACTTTTTCTTTTATCATGACTTCGGTGTGTACATTAATGTGTTAGAGGTAAATATTAAAGAAATAAATGACTGCCATAGAATAGTAGGATACCTAAGTGCAAGTAATAAATGACTGTGTATCATACATTACCTTGAATAATTTATAAAGGTCAAGGTCCTTATTGCCTACAGTTGGTCCACTATTGATTGGTGCCCCACATTCTTCCATGAACTTGTAGAGCTGAGCAACAAAGTGATCCTTTTCTTCTCTTGGTTCATCATCCGAGCTCTACAGAAAATGAATTTTTAATTTGGTATTATTGAAGTTTCACTAGATATGGTTTTCACCATACCACTGGTTAGACAATAAGAGAATATATATCTGGTATTCAACAATATTTGTACAGTATTTACAATACTTACGTCAGAATCTGATCCGTCTCTGTCTGAATCATCATCCGACACATCCATGCCAAAAAGTAAGTCACGATCCCAATGGGGTGGAAGCTCATCATTAGTCATGAAGAGAAGAGCCTTTTCGACTGCTATCTTTAAAGCACTCTGAGAAACCTTGCTGCCAACCTCACGGCTAAAAGGGGAGGCTTCCTTTTTTGGTACTGTGTAACTGAAAATAAATAATGTAGTTACCAACAAAATAAATGTCTACAAGAGTTTTAAGTGAAGAAGAAATAAACTGCCTTTATGCCCCAACATGACCAAGGTATTTTCAATGTCCTGTACACACTTACCATTTCACCCTCCTCCTCATAATGTTTTGCAGCCAATTTTTACGCTTGCATACTGATGGAGGTGGAGATGCCTGTACAATAAGTTATAATATAATGTTGTCTAATGGTGAGAGTAATATTTGGGTTAAACTGTAAGGAATGAAAGTCTTTGCAATTTTAATTTGTTTATTATGTTAATTCTCCCTATAGCCTTCATCTTAAGTGATGATGAAATTCCACTGCTTTGAGGAGATATTCATGATTTTCTTAACTGATGTACAGTAATATTTTTTATTGTTTACAATCAGGTGTTCTGAATGCCAGCCTTTGAACTCACATGACTTTGTTAATATTCTGGCATCATATCATATGACTGCCTGTTCAATTTTATGAGAACAGAGAATCTGCCTACAGGTTAATTAAACTGATCCTGGAAGAAAGTATGATACAAAAGGAAAAGGTGCTACTTACTATCTACCATCCTGGAAGGATCTGACAAGATAATCTTTTTTTGTTTCAATCTTGACAGAATCTTGAGATGTAGGGGCAACAACTAATCCTGGAAACCAATTATCCTTCTGTTTTTTCTTATCTCCAAGTTCAACACACACAACCTTTCCAATATCAGATTCCCATTCCTCCCGCCTAGAACGATGTCGTTTATGTACATCATCGTCATCATCACCAGACTCGTCCCCTTCACTGTAAGGATATCATATTACAATAGCTTTTAGTTTTAAAATGACAAAGGTTAAAAGCATTATTAATATGAATGGTGATATTATTAATAACTAATAAAACATGCCTGTTAAGAAGGGCCCTACTGGCAACTCTGAACATAGGAAAAAAAAAGTCCAGAGAATGATATTAATATTAATAAAAAACAATTATACTTATAAAAATGTAAACAGTTTGCTGTACAGTATATACTTTTGGGTGGGTGTGGCAGGGAGGGAGAGTGAGTGGAGGAACAGGTGCTACTAACAGTATGTAATGTAGATAAATATTATCAATGATCATTTAAAGTTCTGCAACAAATTTATTTCCCATGAGGAAAACATTAGCCTCATAAATTCATTCTAAAGCCATACATACTGGTGCTGCCTGGATCTACGACCCCGCCTTGCTCCCCCAACTGGGGTGCCAAAATGTTCTGGATGCGTTAAAGGTAGTTGATCCAATGTCTCACTCTCAGCAAAATGACGACCACTTTTCAAGCACAGCGAGGTTCGACGTAACGTTGTAATGTCACCATCATCAAACACTGTAAAGAGTGCAACAAATAATATATCAAACTAGAGTGCAAACACATGTACTGGTAATGAATCAATATAATTCAGAAGAGGATGGTGCAAGAGAGTGGAAGACCAAGCAGAAGGTGGGAGAATGGGATGGAAAGACAGTATTGTCACGGATCTATGGCGGATGCGTTTCATAATTTCTTACCGTAGAGTTAGATACCTTCACACTGGTTAGTCACAGATTATGGTGTCTACGTAGAAATTCACTCCACCACCCAACATTCCATGTGATTTATACTTGATAAATTGTGATTTAATGAATTCCATTATTTTCCAACATCCATCTAAGTTATTTGTTATACTTTGCCATAACCAATCAGATAGGGATCACAGATATGGGCAGATAATTGCACTTACATTTATTTGGCAAGCTTCCATACAATGATTTACAATTTGCATGGGTACACGAGTCACATTCATGCTGTAATAAAATTAATCTTGCAAAGAGGGAATTTTCAACCTGGGGCCGCATATTTGATTACTCTACTATGGATACGACTTAACAGAGCCTTAATTCCTCAAGTGATACATTTACTGCCAGTCTGGATTGCTCTTGTTGCAACCAGCCTTTCACATGTGATCTTTCCATGGGGAATAACGAAACCTTGGGTTACCACACATAGTCTCGTGTCACTGACTGTCATTGTAGACGGTGTCGCACAGGAGAACTGGTAAGGTGACTTGATTAACCACTTATGTTCACTGGGCCAGCCTGGATCGCTCTTGTTGCAACCAGGCTTCTACAAGTGATCCTTCCACGGGGAATAACATAACCTTGGGTTGGCACACACAGTTTCGGGTCATTGTAGACGGTGTCGTGCAGGAGAACTAATAAGGTGACTGAGTTGGCACCCACACAGTTTCTTTTCACTGACAGTACATAGGATGGGGTCACGGTAAAAGGACTCTGTGTAGCACCCCTTTCCCTTCAGGAAGGGGAGGATGAGGGCGTCTTAACTAACCCATGGTAGAGAGGATACTGGCTAAAAATGTGGTATTTGGGCGTGAGACACGATGAACAATGCAACACTGTCTCAATCGCCCCCCATAGACTGGCTCACATACCCACTAATGAAATAGTGATGATGGAGTCAATGCTCGCCTGGTGTCTTATCTCCCGTAAACAAACATTGGAGTTGGGTTGCGTGGGTAGGCCCAAAGCAGCCCATGACAAGTATACTGTAGATAGAAAGATGATGAACATTCAAGAAGCAAGTAAGTACATATCTGAAAAGATTATGGTGTCATACTTGAGAGCAAGGTGTTGGGTTAATAGAATGCTGTAATATTGTACAAAGATAAGGAAATATGGAAGTGAAAGATGTGTTGTTCAGTGTAGATCAGGGTATGTTCAAGTGGTATGAAAATATTGAGAGGATGGGAGAGAAATGCTGTAGAGTATACGTAAACAATATACAGTACAGTAAAGCCTCCGATAACAACGGTTAGACCAAAAACTTTTCATTTAAAACCCTAGTTAATTTAGGACCCAATACAATTTACGTCCTTATTTCATTCATATTTACGACCAAAATATAATAAAAATTAAATTAAATTAAATTTTCATATAAATAATACCGTAACTAAATCCCGATATGTATTATAAAAAAAAATTACTGTAAAACAAAATGAAGAACGCCTTGCGCAAAGAAGCTGCCTTGCTAATGAGTGGTATACAAGTCGGAGCTTGGCGGGCCTTTTGTTTTCACCCATCCGGAACAGGAACAAGAGAAAAACTTTCTCTGGTTTCTTACAGCATTTTTGCATCCCTATTCAACATGAGCAAGAGATGGTAGTGTTGGTTCAAAAGTTAATAGAAAGTGTCTAAGCTTAGCTGAGAAACTAGATGTATTAAAACGATATGAAAAAGGTGAGAGGTTTGTGGATATTATATGGAGCAAGCAAAGAACATATTTTCTGAAGTGGATCTATTAACAGAACAAAGCATTAAAATTTAAATAAATGCAAATGACCTCTACATAAAGATGTATAATGAGAAAAGAAAGCAGCTGTGCAAGGTTCTTTCGACAGCTTTATTATTCGAAGGACTAAACCATCAACTTCAGCTACACCATCAAATTCAGCACCATAAGCAGCTTCAACATCAACTTCAGTAACAGTTTCAGCAACAGCTTTATGGAAAGCTACAGCTTCAGCCAGAGTTGAACCTGATGACTTCGTCATCTGAGTAAAAACTCACACAATATGCATTGGCTGTCCTTATATTTTAGAATTTACTACCATTGGTGAATAGAATTTTAGTTTTACATTAGTAAATATTACTTAAAACATAAGTGAACAGTAAAAAATGTCCATTCAAATAATGGACTCAACTCCCTCCCCCTCTTCTCACACTACACTGCTGGCTCTTCCCTCTCTGAGAAATTTTTGGGGGAAAACCACTAAATTTTAATAAATAATACCTCAAACTAAAGTTAGGATAATACAATTGACATTGCTGGATTCCTTGTAAAACCAGGAATTATTTGAATATAAATGTCATATATTTTTCACAAAAGATAACATATTTACTCAGATTAAACATTTTATCTAAAATTTGTATGTCTAATGCAAAATCTATGATGTTTATATTCAAAATGATCATCAAATTATAAGAATTCCAGCAATGTAAATTATATTCTGACCGGGTAATTTGTATGAATTTTATGAGCTAAAACAAATATCTTCAGTTAATAAAAAAAAAATATTCTTCAAGACACTATCTGTCAATCAAAGTACCCCACCTTGCCTCCCCCCTCTTCCAACCATGCGGTCAGTCCCAACCCTCCCCACCACTCCTCCCTTCAAGAGATGTGGTGAAAAAAATAAATTTTAACATTTTGTATTAAATAATACCTCAGATTAAAGTTAGGATGATATAATTGACATTGCTGGATTCCTTGTAAGACCAGGAATATTTTGAATATAAATGTCATATATATTTCACAAAAGATAACATATTTACTCAGATTAAACATTTTATCTAAAATTTGTATGTCTAATGCAAAATATATGATGTTTATATTCAAAATGATCATCAAATTATAAGAATTCCAGCAATGTAAATTATATTCTGACCGGGTAATTTGTATGAATTTTATGAGCTAAAACAAATATCTTCAGTTAATAAAAAAAAAAAAAAAATATTCTTCACAGGGTAACAGATGGTCGGTCGGTCCCTCCCTCCCCCCCACCCCCCACCAACCGTCCCAAGGAGATGTGTGGGAAAACCAGAATATTTAACTTTTTAGTAATAAATAATACCTCAAACTAAAGTTAGGATAATATAATTGACATTGCTGGATTCCTTGTAAGACCAGGAATATTTTGAATATAAATGTCATATATTTTGCACAAAAGATAACATATTTACTCAGAGAAAACATTTTATCTAAAATTTGTATGTCTAATGCAAAATATATGATGTTTATATTCAAAATGATCACCAAATTATAAGAATTCCAGCAATGTAAATTATATTCTGGCCGGGTAATTTGTATGAATTTTATGAGCTAAAACAGGCAGTCAGGCAGGGTGGCGGGTGGGGCAAATCTAAAAATAGCGTCTCGAGCCGGACACTCACCGCGTATATGTGGAAAAAATCCGTGTTAAGTGAAAGTTCAGCTCTGGCGAGGCACCGCGTATATGATAAAACGCGTTAAGTGAAACCGCGTTAGGCAGGGTAATACTGTATATTCATTTTTTTTTTCATTAAATTTATTACAGCTACAACCAGGGTCTTATTTTCTTAAATTTTTTGTGTCAACCTATCGTCCCGGACTCCCGGCTGTAAACACAAACGAAACAATGGCGTCCCATCTCCTCTTGTGTGACCATATTATTATTCATTTATATTGTATAAGGTGCAGTCAGAAACATTATTTAAAGAATATAGTTTGCACTTTTCATTAATTGTATTGTTTGGGGGGTAAAGAGGGTAAAAAGCCACACAAAAGATATGAAAAGGTCACACTTGGGAATGCATCTCATAATTATTGCTTTATTTTAATGGTAATTACTGATTCGCGATAAGACGATTCACCTTACACTGCAATATTGGAGGACACATTTACATCGTTATTCGGGGCTTTAGTGTACAGTAATATCTATGTTAGCCGGAATCCCTCAAACCCGGAACTCTCCGATAGCCAGAATTGAAATTTTCCCAGAAAATTGTTCCCAAAGCCGGAATTTTACGGAAAATTACGGCCTTGGGAGCGATTTTCTGAGGGGCACATTTTCCTGAAAATTCAGAGAAAATTTTCCCGATACCCGTAAAACTCCGGGGATAGGGTTTTTTTCCAGGATTGAGAGATGAAAATCAGGTGCATTTTCTGGAACTTACGAGAAAAATTTTCCACTACCCGGTAAATTCCGGGGATGAGGGATATCTTTCCGGGTTTGAGAGATGATGTGATGGGCAATTGCTGGAACTTCCGAGAGCATTTTTCCGTTACCCAGAAAATTCCGGGTATGAGGGATTTTTTTCCGGCTTTGTGTCGTCTCGTTAACCAGAAATCTCTCATTCCCGGAAGAGCTCTGCACCAATTGTTCAAGCTAACGGAGATATCACTGTATATAGTAATTCAAAGGCAAAAGGTAAGCAGGAGAAAGGAAGACCAAGACAACTGAAGACTAGAAGTAGAAGTCAAAGACATCCAGGACACAACTAAGTGTATGTGGCATCAAACGATTTTTGAGAATGGTCATGCTATTGATGGTTAGTGCAATGTTGTACTAAGCAATAGGAAAAAATTAGATAGACAGCTGTAGCCTCATTTTAAAAGAGGAATACAGTATCTCAGTACACATATTACAACAGTAAATATGAATGAAAGAATGAGAGCAAATGAGGGGAGTACAGTATCTGATTGCTAATTTTTGCAACACTGAATTATTCTGAGAAAAACTTGGAAGGAAGGGGGAAATACTATATGAAATGAATAAATATGTACTGTATTAACTATGCATACAAACAGGTACAAAAGATATAACTTTTAAATCTAAGATCTTGCAGCACAGACAAAACACTAAAATGCGTGTGCGTGTGAGATATCATAAAGGCGGAGGCACACCAGGCACTTTTCTCCAAAAGTGTTTGGCAAACTCAGTCCGGCCAGCAAAACAGAGACGTTTTGCATCACACGGGGATGTTTTGTTGGCGCGTCTGCCCAATGCAACGAAAACAACAACAAACAGTCTAGACAAGGTTTGCCATGGATCTCATTACTACAATTGAGGCCTTGCAGGATTGTGCTATAGTTCTTCAATTGCTGAAGCAAGTGAGGCATCTGCAAAGGCTAAAGAAAAGACAGTGGGTGTGGCATGAAGTTTGTTTAAAAGTAGCGGTGGTTGGATTGTCAAAGAAGATCCTGAATAATGATTTAATAAAACTAAAAAAGTTTTAAAGTGACAAATAAATAGAATATGTCACAGTTTATGTGATATATTTCAAATTATCATTGTTTCGCGATTTATTTAAATTTTTACTTGAAATTATATGAAGCCCATTTGAGCACTAATCCGGCCAGCAAAGATCCCCGCCAAACCGTTGTCCATTTCTAGCAACAGCCAAAATCTGCTGCTTGCTGGGCGTTTTGGCTAATGGCCAGCAAAACGGGCAACATGTTTGGAGGAAAGTGCCCAGTGTGGCGCCACCTTACCTTAATACTGTACCAATGATGTACTTACCAACGGTGTACTGACTACAATCTTGAATTTTGTTAACAATGGCATCTACATACTGATTTTTGTCTGGGTGGCTTGCTTTAACCTGGGCTCCAATTTTCAAAACACCTTTCACCTGATCATCAGATACAACTGTTGAGCCCAAACCCAGTTTAAATGTCACCTGCAAGTAGAAAGATTCATTATACAATAATATATCCACAAGAAAATAAGAAAAAACACCTTGTCATTAATCTAGAAATAATTTATCTCCAAGAATGTCTTCATAATAATTCAACCATAGCAATAAGTTACCAGTGGTTCCCAATTCATGGCCAGTGGACAGCTTAAAGTTTGCCACTTTTTGTAATACAGTACAGTACAATATAATTCGTTCAACCTAACATAGCATCATCAGTGTTTTTCTCCCCAGGTAATAACTATTAATTACAAACATAAGACTAAAATATATTCAGAATAAATTGAAATAATATAATACACAATCACACGTACCAATTTACTTAATAAAATTTTAACATGGGAATAGGCTGAACATAAATGCTCCACTCCACATTGCACTTTCCACTATTGAACCATGTTTAAGGAAGTTTGTCTCAACAATCAAAGCACACAAATCTCATTTATATAATTAATAAGAATTTATAATCATTATCAATACTGTAATACTGTGCTCTGTTAACACCTTCACTATGGGGACAACACTTTTAATATTTTATTTGGCTAATGCCAGACGATCTTATTCAGCACAGATGGGAGATCGTACACCAGCAGTTAAATTGGTAAACAAAATATTTATATTTTAACTCTTACAACAGTCATCTGTCACCCGGGGAGCCTGGTGGATAACACTTTAGTCTTATAATCAGTAGGCCAGAGGTAGAATAACTTGTGCTCCACTCTAGTTTTCCTCATTTTTTATAATTACAATTGCCTATCATACTGAGTAAAGATTATGAGAAGACAAGGATATACTGTATGCATCTGTACATACAGTCAGTCCCGACTTAATACGGGGTTAGAGACCGACGACCAGGTCGTAAGTCGAAAATGCTACAGTGGTCCCTCGATTAACAAACACAATTGGTCCAAGTCACAGAAAAAGTAAATCCAAAAAAATGAGTCAGAAACACCCCTAAAAATCCCGGAAATCCCCTTAAATCACTATATACAGCTCCTCCCCGAATTACGACCTACTCAACTTACGACCACCCAGGCATACGACCGCTTCAGCCATACCAAAATTTTGTCAAATTACGTATTTTCGAGTCCCAACGACAGTGATTGCGCTTTGTACTGACAAAATTTGTTTGTAATTCACTTTAAAATGGCTGGCAAGCTTAAAAGTGAGAGTTTTGTGGTGCTGAGAAGAAAAAGAGACACCCATTTTAGATTTTCTATGTATTATTTAAGCATTTTCGACTTACGACCTGGATTTGGGTACCTAACCCAGTCGTAAGTCGGGGAAGAGCTTCACACACACACACACACACGCACACGCACACACACAGGGTACCGCGGAAAGTGAGAAACGCGTAAAGTGAACAACATAACATATGGGATTAATTGAAATAGAGACCAGGCCGACCCCCAAACTCCACTTTTTGACGACACACAACTATGTTGTAGTAAAAATTTTATCGTAACTTTATGATGGTATGAACAAACAAGTAATATAGAAGTGGTTAGGTTAGGAAAAATAAAGGTTAAGTTAGGAAAAATAAAGGTTAGGTTAGGAAAACTAAAAGTTAGGTGTAACACTTACGTTAGTAGAAGAGATGGGTTGGCATACGGGGATGGAGGGGGAGGGGAAGGAGGAGGAGGAGGGAGAGGCGAGGCAGGGGGGAGCAGGAGGGTGGCGGGTGGGGCGAATCTAAAAATAGCATCTCGAGCCGGACACTGCGCGTATATGGGTAGATGAACCACATTAAGTGAAAGTTCGGTTCTGGCGAGGCACCGCGTAAAGCAGGGTACAACTGTATAAAGTCACGGTCATATCATCAACAATTTTAATATTACAGTGGTCTCTCGGTTAACGAACACAATTCGTTCCAAAAGGTCGTTCGTTAACCGAATCCACTGTTTCAATGGGATATTGGGTAATTGGTTCCAGCTCAACGAAAAGTACATACAAAGTAAAAAAAAAATGCAGTAAAGTACACTTACTTTGAGGTGTGTATGTAGAAAGCTCCTGGTTGATGATGATGATGGGAATTAGAAGTGGGGGTGGAGGAGAAGGGAGAAAAGAAGGAAGTGGGGATGGAGGAGAAATCACCTTTCAGGGGACCCATGCTTGATGCCGTCATTTCACCAATAAAATTTTAAGTTCACTAGGTGTAATTCAAGATTATTTTCTTTAAATCAACACTGCACTGCACTATATATTATTAATATGTTAAATAAATTTCAGAATAACCAATAATTGTACAGTAAAAACATAAAAATACTCTGTGTTCAAGAGACCCACAAGCAAGATGTTTCCTCCACTGAACAGACACACAAACAGACGCCTTGGTGGGTGAGTGAAGTGGCTGATGGGCACACCAAAAACTAGTTCCCTTTACTGCAATTATGTTAAATAAGTGTTAAAATGACAAATAATTTTAATATAAAACTTGGAAAAATATTGAATAGCACAACCTTCTTGATATTTACTCCAATGAAAATGAATGTAAGCCCTAGAACCGATTACTGTGTGAATAACTTGATGACATGTTAATTGAATTTTTTCTTGGTGGGATTCAACTGTAATTTGTTAGCATTCGTTAACGAGGACACTGTATTGTAATAAATTACTATTAGTGATGAAGATAATGATGATAATGAAGTATTCTGTACAACAACTGTGACGACGTCCAGCAAGCTTCCCGCATATCGCTTTCTCAGTTCACACCAGCACTACTTTTTCTCTGTGCTCTCATTTGCATGGTGTGTTTATCACGTACCTTTTTAGTGTTAAACGCTGTTTCCCCCATTGAGCATGCCTGGAAAACGTCCATCTGCCTCCTCTGGGGTACCTAACGCTAAAAAGGCACGAAAAACAATCGCAATGGACGTGAAATTAAATGTGATCACCCGCCTTCAGAGAGGAGAGCGTGTCGTAGGTTGGCCGCTTGCTTGGTTTAAGTGAGAGCACTGTTCGTACCCTGTGCGGTATATGATGGTTCCCCTAACCTGTACCATTTACATGTATTCTTTTGGTAAAATTATGCTTAATTTACGCAATTTTTAATAAGCGGTGGTTTTCAAGAACGTAACCCCGCATAAAACGAGAGGTGGGTGTACATGCAGCAAGCACTCCCTGCAGTTGAGTTGAGAGCTGGACGGTACGGTTACTGCGGTTGTACTGTACTGTCTGCTGCCTCGCGTCACTGGCCCTCCCCCTGCGCCAACTGAGAGTCTAACCAGATGCACCGCAGTCCATCTCATAGAATAAACAAAACATTGTTTTTTGTATTATCATGCTAAAACACACACTCATAAATCAACACAGCTAAAATTACGGGACGCGAAATGGTCCATTTACTAGAGATCGGCTGATGAGAGAGGGTGGTCGCGCTGGAGCCGCACACCTTTTGTCTGCCTCATTCCTACTTTTACTTTTATCCTCTTCACCAGTGATCGGTACTTTTATTTTCCTTTCAACTTATTTTTTTAATTACTTTATGCTATCAAAATAGATTTTCACTCAACTTTAGCTATGCAATTCATCCTCTGAAGATGTAGAGCCCAACTTGACTAGCTCATCATCCACATCACTCTCTAGTGCTGTGGCTGTGGACGCATCTGACACGCAGGAAGCACCATTTCCACGCTGCAGTGCTTCCAGCACCGTGTTTTTCTGCTCCAGTGTAATTGCTTGCCTTAATTTTTTGGTCTTTGGAGTAGTTAATGATGGAGTAGCTGGCCTCTTTGACAGGGTGGCAATGGTTGATGCACGTGGTAAGAGGAGATAATGTCACACAATATGTCCGTTCACTAGAGCGTCAGAGCAAGAACTTAGGATGCGTGAGGGTGTGGGAGGGAGGTGGGCAGCCTTGCAATGTGCCCAGAGAGGCATCTGGCGGGAAACATTAGGCACAAAACTTAAAATAGTGTGTATTTCCATATGACGCGCCAGATTTGACTCGAGTAAAATAGGAAAGATTCGCTTTAAATTGATACGTTGTCCTTAATGATGGGTGTCACTTTAAAACCGTAATTTTAAATCGATTCACCTTAAACCGACGTTCTACTGTACAGTACTCCCTCTTTATCGACGGATTTTTTATCGACGGTTTCGATTATCGACGGATTATTTAGACGGCATCCTGCAACAGGAGGCAGAAGCTGCCGACACCTCACAACAACAAGACGTAGAAGCTGCCGGCACCTCACAACAAGACGCAGTACCTGCCCACACCCCTCAAGAAGATGCAGACCTTGACTCATCATACTCATCTGACTGGTCAGGCTTTTAATAAGCCTCAATCATCACACTTGTATATACTGTACACTGTATTGTTTACTGTAAGGACCGATGTTCACTTCAATAAATGAAATCGTAAGTTTGCTAGTATTTTTGTCCACTTATTATATTATTATTTATACACTATTATTTAAGGTTATGTGTAAAGGAAACGCATTAATGCTTAAAGGTACATTTATTCAACATATGCTAATAATAGTTAGAAAAATTACGTAACCATCACGGTATCGACGGTTTCTTTATCGACGGCCGTCTACAGAACGTAACCCCCGTCGATAAAGAGGGAGTACTGTATTACTATTCTAAACAGCAGTGTATAAATGCATGTATGAACATATAAGTCAAGCACATTTGCCTCTCTCACCATTGTGTTATGGGTTCAATTCCTGGGTCAGATATGAGAAGGGTGTTATCCAGTGTGACCTTACCTAACTTTGCAGAATTTCTCCAGGTACAGAAGGATCACATCCTTAAAAGGTGTCAATGACTCAAAACAAATTTTCCCAGAAACTTTGATTAAATACAATAATTGGGATGTACTCCTCAGGACAAAATTTTTTCCCAAACATACTAAAATAATACATTAGGCTTTTTAAGTACAAATTTAATTGAAAAAGATATATTTTACATATTATGTACAGGTAGTCTGAAAACCCTTGTGATGTGTGAAATTGCACACGTGCAACTAATTTACTCTT